GGGTGAGCATTAGCGACAACTGGTTTCGATTTCGTGACTTCCTCTATATTTTGCCTTTCAAGAAGCAACAGTAGAAGAAGAAAAGAAAGAAGAATATTCATGTATGTAAAAAAAACGACGGTTGAATATTCAGTATATTATAAATACAAAACATTACAGCAACTGATAATTAAAAATAAAGTGAAAATTGTTGTCTACAAGTCATAATGAAACATACCTATAATACAAGGGCTTAAATTGAGTTAGAGCTCTTGTTTTGTAGAAATGTTTATATCTACATGCAAAACAACTGTTTAAATAAAGTGAGAGCCCTTGCCTAGAGGTCATGATGAAATATTTACACAAAACAACTGTTTAGATATAGTGAGAGCCCTTGCCTATAGGTCATGATGAAATATCTACACAAAACAACTGTTTAAATATAGTGAGAGCTCTTGCCTATAGGTCATAACAAACATATATGTACAAACAAAATGTCCAATTCATTTAAAGCTCCTGTTCAGTAATAACGTTTAAACATACATGCAAAGAATTGTTTGAATGAAATGAGATCTCTCGTGTACATATAAAGTAAGTGCTTAAATTAACTTAGTGATTTTGTCATACAAGTAATCATTAAACATACTAACGCAACAATGTAAGTTACGCTGGAGCTCTTGTCTATTAGTAATGAATCACTCAACATAAACACAAAGTAACTGCTTAGGAGAAATACAAAGTTTTGCTCAATTACTTTGTCATTATCAGGTACAAGCAAACACGAGCATTTCTGCAATAAATATATATTAAATTTGTTTCAGGATTTTAGTGCAAAGCTACAGGTAAATAAACTAGTTCAAAAGAAAACCTTTCCTAGGTCGGACATAGGAGTCACAAAGAAATCAAATCTTCAAAAATAAAAACATTCATTTAGCCATAATGAAATAAAATCTAAACATAGAAATAACAGACCACAAGAATATTTAATCTTTTGAGTTTCGAAATATACGATTTCTATTTACTTTCTAGCGTCCAAGAATTGTCCAACAGAAGGAAAGTTCTTAAGATATCCAAGTAAGTGATTTCTAATTACTCTACAATAAAATATTTTGAGTATCCGGACAAGAGTCATATGATTACCAGAAATAAAAAAATCGTTCAAAATCTCAAACAAAATATTCTAGTTATTTTAATATAAAATATTCAACGAGAAACAATTACAAATTGCTAGTAATACGTTTAAGATATATTGAAAACCAAGTTAATATTGTATAGTTAGAAGGATATAAGTTACTTTAAATCATTTGTTTTCTTCTTGTTGTTATTGTTTTAAGAATTTCTGTGTAAGGCTACTTAAGGGCTATCAGCAAAGCCAATCACTAATTTTCAAGTGATGTACTGGAAAGGAAGCAGCTGCTCAAGAGTAATTGTCATCAACTCTTGGGCTACTCTTATCTATCTGACTGAATGCAGCCGTCACTCTTAAAGTGCACCCGTGACTCCAAAGTCCGGGTGGCAGTCTTACAGCAAGGAATCACGAACCCTCATACTCACACTCCGTGAACGCTTAAAATATATTTTTTCTTCTATAATTAATCGTTCACAAGATACAGAGCGTGACAGACAAACATTTAGTTATTACATATATATATATATATATAAACGTGAGTTTTGTTTTCTAAAAAGAGGAATGCCTTTTGATTTCAATCCAAAAGTGTGTTGATTTGAATACACTGTTGTGTTATGAAGTCACACTTTGTATATTTATATAGATTATAAAAAATAAACACAAAAATTGTGCATCAGCTAACACGTTTGAGATCTGTCTCGTTATACAGACACAATGTTGACCAGTCACCAGATTTGTGTCCCACAAAATACACGTTCTTTTGTTATTGTATGTTTACAGTTAAAGCACCTATATATATATATATTTGATCCCCCCAGTGGGTCTAATGTTTGTTACTAAGGTTCAGGATTGAATAATCTGTAGTATACAAAGCGCAGATAGCTCATGCTGTTGCCATGTTTGGAGTCGACGTCACGACTAACACATTAGTTCGGTCAGTTTTCGCATGACTCACAAAATTACAAATATGTACATATACCTTATCATATACTAAAACAACAGTTTGTTTGTTTATCTGTGAACTCCTACCACAGTTTTGGAGGTAGCAGGATTAAACTTTAGAGGATAACTCGGGGCGACCATATCTATATGGCGTATGGGAAGGGCTAAATAATGTGGAAAGTCATCCAGGATTGATGGGGAGGATACGTCGGCAGGATCGTTGAACTCGAACCTGACATTGGAATTTATGTTCTTGGGCCAACTCGGCATTCCGGGGGGTGTCATTGTTGAAACTGTATTAATACCCTACTCAGAAGGTATTACGGGAAGGTGTCTTAACAATGTTAACCTTCGGGTACGGCCTCCCTTGGGTTAGCTATTAAAGTAGCTGGAAAGACCCCGATACTTACATTTGGGCCTCTATGAATCATAGAGGGGTGCTTTGAACCCCGCAGCGGAGTTGCGTATTTTATGTTAGTGTAGAAAATACACATAAAATCGCTGAAGAAAACTGAATATTAACTCATTCCCATGTTGAAAGGTAATGAATATTAACTCATTCCCAATTTGAATTCTTATAATGTTTGTTTGATAATGATGATCCATCTGCTGTATTTTGTTTGTTTGTTTCGAATTTCGCCCAAATCTACACGAGGAATGACAACTAGTCATCACCACCCACCGCCAACTCTTGGGCTACTCTTTTACCAACGAATAGTGAGACTGACCGTCTAACTTATTACTCCTCCATGGCTGAAAGGGCGAGCGTGTTTGGTGGGACAGGGATTCGAACCTGCGACCCGCACATTGCGATTCGAAAGCCTTAATCACCTCGCCATGCCAGGCCGCTGCATTTTGTACGTGTGTGTGTGTTTCTTTCTTAAAGTTTTATAAATATATTTACTGTATTTAATAATAATTTGATGATTTTTTTCATGTATTTTACAGCTTTAAGATTTTCAGTCTTACATGTTAAACATTTTTATAACAGTTTATTTCATTCGTTCGATCCCGCGAACTTACAACGCTAGAAACCGGGTTTCGATACCCGTGGTGGACAGAGCACAGATAGTCCATTGTGTAGCTTTGGGCTTAACTACACGCAAACAAAGTTATCGTTGCGCATTACCGAGAATTTAGCCAAATATATAAAAAGTGTATCGCCTTTTCAAAATATCTATAGGTAATTCATTGTTCCTACTCTTAACAACAAGATTAGTTGTTATTTTTGTTTTTGCCTACAGGGTTTCTCACTTATTTTAACTTTAACTTTCATAATAGCTTCATAGACATAATTTCAAGATGCAGAGAGAGGGAGTAATACTTCTCAACTGATTACACTCAATAATTTTTAATTACAGAGTGTTAATCAAGCTTTATAAGAATAATTTTCATATGTTATTACAGTAACGTTTGACCTTGAGCTAAATGTTCATCATTTGCATATTTAGTTAAGTGCAAATTCTCTACACTCCGATGTGTAACACCGCTATTGGTAAACTTATCGTTGAAGTATTACATCATGAAACTATCCAAAAAGAATATTCATATAGCCATATTGTTTAACGATGTAGAGTCAGATAGCACAACACTTTGAAGAAGGAAACCTTTAATGTTCTTCATGGAAGTTGATAAACTCGGATGGTGAAATATTTGGGACAGCATCAAGATTCAAAACTATACTCAAAGCCTATTCAGAGTAACGCGCTCATCCGCAAAACTGAAGACTGTGGTTGCGAAAGGGAACCCTCTAACTCAAAAAGCCAATGCGACAAAGCTGGTACTCGACAAGGTAGTAACCTCAAACTTGAAATTGATGAAGACTCACAAACCAAAAAATTTACAAGTTTCCAGCCACATCTCGATATCGACAACTTTCATCATTAGAAAGATGCCCGAAGGAACTGGAATCCGAACATTTCCATGTTAATTTCGCCAATGAAGCGCTATTGGATTTGTATGCCTTCAGCTTGCTTAAAGTACCCAAGAATCCGACGTCTGCTTACAATGAAGAACCTTTGAAATTTTTTTTTCAAGAGGTTTGACTTAAAATTAACCTCGTCGTACGTCACAAGTGCTTACTGCCCTACAAAAGAGGATTTGCGTGTCAGGCAATTGCCAAGACATCAGAATGAGCACGACAGACAATGGAAGAAATAGTTCCAAGGGTAGCACGTGAACTGGAATATCATTCCTATAAAATGCTATCAATGATCACGACTCTCAGTGAACAATTTAAATAGCACATGATTTTTTGGAGGGGGCCATTAAGAAAATTTTATGTTATTATATATTTATTTTACATAATGATTATTCTACACATAATACTATGTTATTATAATACGGGGAAATAACTTACCCTACTCGACGTTGTGTCATGAAATTTCTGTCTAAGCCATGAAACTGAGGTCATTTGACATAATAACTTATAACTTATAACACTTGGAATTAAAAATAAACAATATCATTTCGAAAAAGGTCATTTAATCTGTACACAAACAATCATCTTTTCGTGAGAAAATTCGTTTAAACACCTGACTATTACATTTTCTATTGGTTTTTCAAAGCAATACACTTACTATGAATATTTTTAAAGTTCCCTTTAGGTTAATTCTAAATTATTTAAACCGAATAGTTTTTTTACTTACCAGTGTATAGCATGTTGCTTCCCGAGTCTCCAAGTTTCGCGATTCCTCTAATTCTGTACAGAAACGTTCTTAAATATCAGTTTGCAAATAAACTTTTCTAAAGAAGAAAGCGAAGGACTTTAGTACTTTACATGAAATAAACATTCCTTCCAGTATTCATGTTTGGTACTTTATTAGAACCACATAAAAATTGCAGAAAAACTAAAACTAAATCCCACTGTGTTACCCTCGCGGAAACAATTCAGCAAATAGATCACGTACGATCTAACATGAGAAGCAATTTGCATGAAAAGTTTACTTACGAACACATAACGTATGCAGCTTAGTCTTCCTATCACAATTTATCACATGTTTGCTGCTGTTCACCTTGTAAACAGCTTGACAATAATTCCTTCCTGGTGTTTAAAAAGCGGCACGAGGAGGTTTGACCGACCAACCACTTGTGCCTATCATGATTTCTGGATTAGCTTCTCGAGTCAACACAGCTGCCGAACAATCGTATTTTACTTTAAGATCCCTGGTTGCTATAGCGACCGCCGTTAGTATCCAATCAGGAATATGGACGAAAATCCTAAGGGCAGATACGAAATGTCTTTGGTTCCGCCTTCAGTTGACCATTTTTAGGCACTAGCTTTACTCGTAATGGAAAGATAGATAGGTAGATATATGTGTGTGAATTTTTGTATATAGTATAAACCATATACAAACCAAACCTTTAAAATGGTGTTTTCATAATACACTAGGAAGCTGTAAGACTAACCTCTTGAAAGCTGTGAGGACAGAAGGTTATAGAAAGGTCGACCACAAAGAAATCGAATTTAAGAATGTAATTACGGCAATATGGTGTAGCTTAATTTAGGTGATATTGGATTCCAACATGATTAATAAAAATAAACAATACGACAACGTATTCAATAGCCTAATTTATTATTGTATAAAACATGTATCAAGTTAATAGCGAAAGAAATAGCTTCTACACTTTAGGAACAATAATATTTTAAACCAAAATCGATGAATATTTCGTTATTTATAAAACTAGCAGAAAATCCGCCCTCCGGGCAAGTATAACTGCTAGTTCCTGTGAAAGGCTATTGGGCCTGCGGCCTTTTCTTGAATTGTCTGACAGTTCTACAACAATGTACTCATACTTGAAATTCAATAATGTTTACTATCCACGAGAAAAGGATTTTATTAACAGAGTAGATTTTAATGAAGTATTTCTTTTTTAGACGCAGTTATCAATGAAAGACCCTTGCCTTTCTGTTGCAACACTCGGGAGATTTTCACTAAAGGAAAACAAATATTTTTTTTAAGTTTGTTTTTCGATTGTTTTATATTTGAAGCCTACTCCTTTTTAGTAGTTTTTTATTGGTTAAATCTGAAACATATAACTTTTTATGGAAATTTAAATTCCTTTATTTATTTCTCAGTTATACAAATACTGCCTAGTTATAAAAATACTGCCTAGTTATAAAAATATTACCTGGTTATGATTGGTGATGATCGGTGCGATAGTTTCCGATATCCGAGTTTTGGACTTATACATCGCAAGTTCCATTATAATAAGATTCTGGTCTTTCCTTATCCAATTTATTAAAAATAATTTGTTAATGTTAAGTACAAACCACTCAGATACAAAAGGAAATAATAGTATACATTTCTTTACACTGGTGGTAGATGATGATGATGACCATTTCTTTACACGTGTGGTAGATGATGATGATGATGACCATTTCTTTACACATGTGGTAGATGATGATGATGATGACCATTTCTTTACACATGTGGTAGATGATGATGATGATGATGACCATTTCTTTACACGTGTGGTAGATGATGATGTTGATTTGTCCACTATGGAGAATCGAGCCTCGGATTTTAGCATTGTAAGTGCGTAAACTTAGCGCTGAACCACCGGAATACATTTAATTTTAATGCTGTGTTGAAAAACGGTTTTCTATGGCAGAATAGATGTCATAAGGTACTATAAAAAAACAACAAAAAACGTAAGTCTGTTTAAGAAATTAGTACAGAACGAATTTGGATGGATAACCAGATTAAAGATGTGAAGTACTGGACACTTATGTGGCATTACATGATATATATCGGTTGTTTCTGGGCATTTCTCAGATGTTGTTCAAAGTAGCAAAATGAAAAATCTCTACTGTTTACTTAATTTTAATGAATATATCTACAGGATATTTCTTGACTGTCCACATTACTAAAGCTTAAAATAGCCATCTTACACTGAAGCCACTCTTAATGTTCTTTGATGTGCTTTATTTCAGTATTCTACATTTCAACTAAAGCAGTGAACAGACGAATGTGATTTTCGTTTATTTATTTTCGGATATTCGCCCAAAGTAAAGCAAAGACCATGGCGACAGCCGTCCCTAAGTTTGTTTTATTTGTTGTTGTTAAGCACAAAGCTACACAATGGACGATCCGTGCTCTGCCAACTGCGGGTATCGAAGCCCTAAACTTAGCGCTGAGCCACGGGGGGAGAGCTGAAGAAAAAGGCAAAGGTAGGAAGACTAAGCGGTAACATCCTCACAGTAGGAAATTATGTATGTTTATCGACTGCTTTTAGAAAGTTTGTTTAACCATTATATTTTTTTCTTGTGTCATTTATCAGAAAAATACAACTTGTTTTTTTCTCATCTACCAAAAAATGATTCAATATATAACGATGGAATAAACCAAAATAGTCTGTTAGTACATATTTGTGATTTAAGAAACAGATAAATAAATCAAGCTCAAAAATATAATTTTCATCAATCCATAAAAAACATCCAGTTAACTCCACTTGCCTACGGTCACATTGCTTCATGCTGATAATACTTATATAACTGTTTGGAAATAACACCGCGGCGAGATTTAGATTTAGAATACGAGGAACTTGAATAGCATAGCTATATTTCAAGTTTCAACGAAGTGACCTGATCAATGATCAAAATGTATTTGAATTGTTATTGAGATCTGGAATTGTAATTGATAAATATTTTATCGTACTCATAAAATCTGTAACTTTCAATAATGACCAAAAAATATTCAAATGAACGTTTAAAATGTACTCATGTTCCACGTTATTTGAAAGAATATTAAGAATCTAAATAAGTTCTCTGAATACTCAAAATTCTGTAACTGTGAGGTAATAGAAACACGACTGTTTGAAGCCACCATCTATTATCGTAATGCGCGACAAAATTTTAACATATGGTTTTAATTGTTCGTTTCCCTGGAGCATCATTAAGTTGTTTAGGTAATAATTTTGATTTAGTATTCAAAAAAAAGTAATAAACGTGATATAGAATATTTTATACATCTCATCCTCGAGTCATGTTTTTAACTTTGTTGATGATTATTTTTAAGTTTGAAGCAGCTCTAGTAGACCATTGTCTTCGCCTCCAAAAAAAATACAAATTTGAATAATTTTAATGAATATTTGTCAGAGTTATATATGGTCCGAGGGGAGAGTGGGGGTGATATATTTTGCGATAAAAGTTATTTCTCTCAATCTGTTTATAAACATAAAATATAACCAATATTAATTTTTTCCTTTTTAGTTATCAAAGTTATAAATAATAGCACAAGTCTCTTCAGAAAGATAAATATTTTTATTTTATTAACATAGATATACTGAAAACAAGTTTCATCTTTCTTTTGTCAAACG